ATTTATACATGAATTTTGTTTAAATCTTTTATCGGTCTCAAAATTATGTGAATTTTTTAAATGTAATGTCAATTTTTTTGGCTCAAAATATTTTTTTCAGGACAAGACTTCATTGAGGATGATTAGTTCTGCTAAAAGGATATAAGGCTTGTACTACTCAACTATAAAAGATAAGGGTGTGCATATCTCAACCATTACAATTATTCCTAATAAAGTCATATGACACTCTAGACTAGGTCACTTATCTCAAAATAGAATATCATCCTTAAATTTAACAGTTCCATGTATTTAGTTGATAATAAAGATGTTTGTGATGTGTGTCATTATTCTAGAAACAAACTACCTTATATGGTTAGCACTAATAGAGCTTTACACCCTTATGATATGATCTATTTTGATATTCGGGGTCCTCTCGCTGTTAAATATCTACATGGTCATTCATATCCTAACAATTGTAGATGATTGTAGTAGGTATACTTGTATTACACTTTTGAAAAAATAATCATAATCTAGGAAACATGTTTTCAATTTTGTCAAACTTATTGAAGCTCAACATGGATCCAAAATCAAAGTCATTTGTACAGATAATGGTCCTAAATTTAATATTCTTGATTTCTTTAGGCTTAATATCCTTTTTGGTCCCGTATCTTAACCTTGAGATTCATTTTGGTCCCTTAACTTCAAAATGGTCCACATTGGTCCCTTAACTCTTCAAAACGTTTCATATTAGTCCTTTTTGTCTTATTAGTGAAGGAAAAATTCAAAAATCAGTCGCTAAATTTGTTGCTAATTAGATAAAAGGACTAATATGGAACGTTTTGAAGAGTTAAATGACCAATATAGACCTTTTTAAAGTTAAAGGACCAAAATTAAGCTCGAGGTTAAGATATATGATTAAAAAGAGTATTAAACCTTTTTTTACCACTAATAGGATTATACATCAAACAAATTGTATAGAATTTTCATAACAAATTGGAAGAATGGAGAGGAAGCATCAACATCTTTTAAAACATCTTTTAAACATAGGAAGGGCATTGCTTTTCAATCAAAACTTGCTAAGTTTTTTTTTAGTCCCATGCTATTTTACATGTTGCATTCATAATGAATAAGATTCCTACTTCTGTTCTTTAAAATCAATATATTCACTTTGTTTTGCATAATGAAATACACGACAAGCATACACTATTCCTTAGCTTATGCTTCCACACTTCAGATCCACATTACAAAACTTGAACATAATGATAGAGAATGTGTTTTCTTAGGTTACAAAAAAGATATAAAGGGAGTTATGCTATCTGATGTCAATAGTAAAGAAATTTTTGTATCTAAAAATGTTAGGCATTATGAACACATCTTTACCTATCAAACCAAAGAAATCACTCCCCATTTGGAATATCATACCAATCCTACCATCAATATTCAACCACCATCACCAACAGTTATACCTAAATCTACCAGTTCTAATCAACCACATGTTTTTGGTGCCACACATAACCATAACCATTATGTTTTGAATAATGGTGTCCAAGATCCACCACCTGATCAAACCATAGACCAAATAGAATCTACAAATGACAATATAGCAAAAACTAAACCTACTAGAATAAGGCATTCACCAAATTATATCTCCTATTATGTGTGCAACTCTTCTTCCATTTCAACAAACAATTCATCTTCAAGTACTTCCCCTATTTTTTTATTCCATTTCTTTTTTTGATTCTCTGTCTAATTTGTCCAAATCTCATTGTTTCTTCACTACATCTATCATACACAAAAACAAGACTAAAAATTATAAATAAACATGTATGTCTGATCATTAGCTTAAGGCTATGACTTCTAAGTTGGAAACACAACAAAAATGGAACTTGGGCCATAATAGATCTACCACCTCATGTGAAACCGATTGAAAATAAATGGGTTTACAAGGTTAAACATAAGGCTGGTGGCACTATAAAAAGATATAAGGCTAGGTTGGTAGTCAAAGGATACGATCAAATTAGAAATTTGAATTTCTTTGATACATTCTCACTTGTGGCAAAACTAACAACTATCAGAACCCTTCTTGCAAGTGTTATACTTCACATCTGGTATGGGATCATGTTCCATTAAAACTCATAATTGCAAATCGGCTATTCAAATGCAGATTTGGCCAATTAAATTGATTCTAAAAAATTAATTTTTAGGTATTGCTTCTTTCTAGATTCTTCTATGATTTCTTTGTGTGCAAAGAAAAACAAATCATTTCTCAATCTTCTTCTAAAGTCGAATACAAAGCTTTGTCATTAGCTACTTTTGAATTACTTTGATTGATGTTTCTAATAAAGGATCTTTGCATTAATTGTTCCAAACCTCGGATCCTTTATTTTGACAGGAAAACCGCAATGCACATTGCTTCCAATCTAGTTTTTTATGAGAGCATAAAATATCTAGAAATAGACTACAATCTTGTGTGTGAAAAGGTTCAACAAGACTTGCTATGACTACTTCCCATCTAATCACAAGAGCAACTCACATATTTCTTAACAAAGACTCTACATACTCCTAAGTTTAATAACATTTTTTCCAAGCTTAGTATGCTAAATATTTAACATTCTTAGCTTGAGGGAAGTTGCTAACATCTAAAGTGGAATTAGTCTTTGGTTAATTTTAGGTAATTGATGGTTAGATGAAAAACTATACTAGTTGTAAATTATAACTATTTTTCATTTCTTTTCATTTTCCTTTCATTTCTTTCATTTAAATTCCATTGTATAAATTGAGTTTTCCTTCATTGAACTCAATAAGATAGAATAAATGAACATAATTCTCTCTAATACTTTCATTAATTCTTCTTATTTCATTAGTTTTCTACGTATCTTAAACTCCAATTTAAATGTTTTATGTAGATGTTCCAAAATATCAAATTTATAAAAGCATTATAAATATTAATGGTCTCCAATATCTTTGTCATAGCCTCGTCCTAAACGATGATGCGAGTAGATTTGCAATTTCTTTTTTTATAATCGTGAATAACATTTTGTCTAATCCATAACACAAATGCTTTTAATAAAGACATAATTACATTTGAGGTCCTTTAAGTTATTTAATTGTAACTGGTTGGTCCTTTAAGTTTTTTTTTCTACAAGTCAATCCTTTAAGTTACCTAACGTCTACACCGTTGACCTTTTTTTAATGATTTTGTTTCAAAAATGATTATGGGGCACTAACTTCACTTATGTGTTAGTTAACATTGCTGATGTGGAATGAAATAATAAACTCATAATTGTGCCTCCCCCAATAAAATTGTGACATGTAGCTTTTGAAGAGAGAGAAAAAAATTGAAATTCTGAGTTTTCACCATTGTTCTATTATCTCTCTCTCTCTCTCTCTCTCTCTCTCTCTCTCTCTCTCTCTCTCTCTCTCTCTCTCTCTCTCTCTCTCTCTCTCTCTCTCTCATTGTTCTTCCACGGTCGCTTCCATGGTGGCTTTCAGTTGTCGCACACATTTTTTTATCCAATAAACTCGTGTAGGGGCACAAAATGAAATAGCAAAAAAAGAGTCGTGTGAGCCTTCACTTTTCACGATGATGCACAAAGCAACCACCAACTCTCACTAATTCACAAACCAATAACTTCAAGAAAACAACCAGCAAGCAAGGCAATTTTTCAAGCCCAATAATCCAACATCAAACAGATAGAATGATACAAATAAATTAATTCGACAACAATCACAACGACTAATATGAATATTGAGTAAGCACCAGCGCAAAGAAGACCAACCTTAAATCTTGAAATCTACAGATCTCAATAGATCTGAAGACAATCAAAAAATCAATAGCTCAGGATACCAATTATACACCAGAAACAGAAACATGCAACCGTGGCTTAACCATTATCGTTTAAGAGACCCAACGAAAAAAAAGAAACAATTACCACAACCGTCGTACTTCCACCATGGAAGAAATCAAGTTGCAGCATACAATAATCTGTCGGCGAAATGCTCCGCCTCTAGAGGACCAGAATTCGATGAGTACCTAGTCGAAAAAATCCCATTGATGAAACAGAAACACAAATATGAATTTGATTCAACCAATTTCCAATAAGCTTACAACGAACGTTAATCGACTATACCAGCTGTCACCGAAACAAAATTGCCGGAGCAAAAGGAATAAAAAAAGCAACCAAAATACATATTTGTATGAGAGAAGAACGAAAAACCAACAACCACACACCGACAATGTCGTTTAGAGAACAATCACCCGAAGACTATATCAAAATCATCGTCGATGATGATTGGGGAACAACTCCAAGGGTAAAAGGGTGGTGTGGAGGAAGGACCTCATCGCACCACCAAGACGCTACATTGTTATATTAGGAAATTTGAATTTTTAGTAAAAAAAAGTGGTGAGTAGCTGAAAGGTTTTGTTCGTAGATGAAGGAGAATAGAAAACTACAATATTAAAGCCATAAATGATACCTTGTTACGATGTTGAGAATAAATTATTCTTAAAATCGTAAGAATAAAAATTAAAAACTAATTTTACATTTTTTTAATTAAAAGTATAATTGTCAATTTTTTTTTTTAAATTTCAAATTACATGTCACTTGTTTAATAAAAAAATACCTATAAATTAAACTTCCATATTTATAATTCCAAATAACTTATTTCTTAAAGTTATTTTTAAATCTTGACATAATTGTCCTCTAAGATAATTTTCCATTTCCAAAAGAATTTCTAAGTATAAAGTTAAGCTCTTACCCCACATTCCATTTTTAATAAATAATTATTCTCATTTTCAAAGTTGAACGAGTCAGAGAAATAATGTAATAATTTGCTACTAGTTGCAATTATCTTCATGTTTTTTTGGTAAGACCAAGTCCTTCCCCCTTTCTCTACCTTCTGAACTCCACCATTCAACTCAACCTAAAACTCTTATCATCATCACAGACAAACCCTTCTTCACTACACTTCACACCCTTCAAATTTCACACCTCAAAGACACTCTCAATCCTTAAAAAAACATGAAACCATTAATCAACTTCAAAACTACAATCATCACCCTCCTATACTTTTCCATCTCCCTCTTTCCCCTTCAAGCCTACGACCCGGTTGACCGCTACACCCTCAATTGTGGCACAACAGGAAACTCTACCGACGGAGAAAGAACATGGACAGGAGACACAAACTCAAAACTTTTGTTATCATCACAAAACAACAACCCAACAACAATTTCTGTTCCAACAACACCACAAAAACCTTCCATCAACAAAATCCCTTATTCAACAGCTCGTTTATCACACTCAATATTCAACTACTCTTTCCCAGTTACTAAAGGTCCTAAATTCCTCCGTCTTTTTTTCTACCCTTCTGCCTATTCCAACGGGTTCAACCGTTACGATGCTTCCTTCACCGTTGTATCCAACGGATTCACACTTGTTAAGGATTTTAATGCTTCGTTAAACGCTGATGTTGAAGGTGTTGATACTTTATTCAAAGAATATGTTATCAACGTTGGTGATGATCAAAGGCTTGATTTAAGTTTTATTCCAAGTGGAGGAAATTCTAAAAATTATGCTTTTATTAATGGAATTGAAGTCTTATCCATGCCTGATTATCTCTATTATACACCAACCACTGATCCTGGTTTTTCACTTGTGGGGTCCACCATCATACCAACATATAGTATTTCAACCACCGTTGCACTAGAGACAGGTAAATAGTTATGTTAACTTCATTTTCTTTTCTCATATAATAACTTATGAATTACATAGAATGAGTGTATGCGTAAATTATTGAAACGTGATTTTAACACAAAAAGCTTTTACTTATAAATTTGAATATTGTTAATTGTTCTTAATCACAATCAAATTCATTGTTAACGAAGTTTATTAATACTAATAGATGGTTAATGTTTCAGAGCATATAATTAGCCTGAGTTGCTGCGCTTACAAAATTCACTCTTAATTTATGGGAACTTCGATGCAGATTACAGGATTAAAGTTGGGAACTCACCAAATATTCAAGACACAGGCATGCTTAGAAACTGGAACAAAAACGACACAGACTATTTAAGAACTCCAACATCATACGATTTTGTCTCTCAAGACTTAACAGGTAGAATGAACATCACAGTAACTCCCGATTACATGGCACCCAAAGACGTCTACAGATCATCGCGTAACTTGGGCACCAATGCCACTCTCAACAAACTCTTAAACCTAACTTGGGAGTTCCCACTTGATTCTGGTTTCTATTACTTGATCAGGCTCCACTTCTGTGAACTCGACCCCTACATATCTACCGTAGGCAATAGAGTCTTCACCGTCTATTTACAAGGAAACGTGGCGGTAGAACAAGCAGATGTTATGAAATGGACCGAAGGTAAAAAAGGGGTTGCCGTGCAAAGAAACTACGCCGTTTCAGTTCCAAAGAGTAATAATAACAAGAAAGTTAATTTCTCTATTCAAATGCATCCGTATGGTGATGGTAGAATCTCCAATTACAGTGACCCGTTTTTAAACGGACTTGAGATTTTCAAAATCAGTGACATCGGTTTGAAGAATCTAGCTGGACCCAACCCGGATGTTGTTCAGTATCCGGTTCAAGAGAAGCCGAAAAGCAAAAGCATAAGTGGAACGACAATACTTGGCGTCGTTTTGGGAGTTGTATTCGGTGTCGTTTTCGTTTCCCTTGTCGTTTTCTTTGTTTGTAGAAAAAAAAGACCAACGAAAGGGGAAAAGGCTACAACGACAAAAGATTCAAAGTCTTCAGCGACTTCGAAGTGGGGTCCACTGTCGTTTGCAACGACCAAGTCAAGCACTACGCAACCCTCAAATCTACCGTCAGATCTCTGCCGCAGCTTCTCGCTCCAAGATATACGCGCCGCCACAAACAACTTCGACGAACTCTTCATCGTCGGCGTCGGAGGATTCGGCCATGTCTACAAAGGCTACATCGACAACGGTTCAACACCGGTCGCGATCAAGCGTCTCAAACCGGGTTCACAGCAAGGAGAAAACGAGTTCATCAACGAAATCGACATGCTCTCAAATCTCCGTCATCTTCACCTAGTTTCTTTAATCGGTTACTGCAATGAAAACAACGAAATGATCATCGTCTATGACTTCATGGCGCGTGGAACTTTACGCGAACATCTCTACAACACTGATAATCCTGCCTTATCATGGAAACAGCGATTAAAGATTTCTATAGGCGCGGCGCGTGGTTTACACTACCTTCATACAGGCGCCAAACACACGATCATCCACCGTGACGTGAAAACAACGAATATTCTGTTAGATGAGAAATGGATCGCGAAGGTTTCTGATTTTGGGCTTTCTCGCATTGGGCCTACGGGTGTAACCAAGGCCCATGTTAGCACTGTTGTGAAAGGTAGCGTTGGTTATTTAGATCCTGAGTATTACAAACGACAGCATTTAACTGAGAAATCTGACGTGTACTCTTTTGGAGTTGTTTTATTTGAGATACTTTGCGCACGGCCGCCTATAATCAGAACCGCGGAAAAGAAACAGGTGTCACTCGCTGATTGGGGGAGATTCTGCTACAAAAGTGGGGCCCTCGGGAGTATCGTGGACCCTTCTATAAAGTGGAGTATAGCACCAGAGTGTCTGAAGAAATTCGGTGAAATTGCGGTTAGTTGTTTGTTGGACGATGGAACACTGAGACCGTCGATGAACGACGTCGTATGGATGTTGGAATTTGCGTTACAGTTACAAGAGAGTGCGGAACAACGTGAGCGTGTTGTTGTGGGAGGTGGTGTTGTTGGTGATGACGTGGAGGGTGGTGAAAGAAGAAAAGAAAATGATGATGATGACGACGTGTTTAGTAGTAGCGGGACCAATATTGGAAACGTTTCGGATTTTAATAAGAGTACTGAAGTGAGTGTGAGTACTATGACGGGGAGTAGTAGTGGTGAGAATAGCTATGGTTTTAATAAGGAAAGTGTTTTTTCTGAAATTGTGGATCCAAAAGCACGTTGAGGGAATCGATCAATTGAAATAAACAAATATGTAGTAGTGGAAAATTAGTGTATATGGTTTTTAAGGTAAAATGTTGTGTTTGGAGATATGTACTTCTTCTATTGTTTTACTTGTATGTATTTGAGGTTGTAACAATATATACAGGAATCAAATTACTTCTCTCGTAGTCAGGCATTTGTTAATCAGCTGGAATAACTTAATATTCCAATATGAGTGAGTCAAATTTGAGTAATATTTTGTTAATTTGAATAACCTCAAACCTTGGTGGTCTAAATTTGAAAAGTATTCCATGGTTGTTCTTCCTTGACTAGACATGTCAATACATAAGAACATTTGACTTAAAATGTTGGTAAGAGAATGAAATGATGGAATGAATAATTCATAAGATAGAAGAAGTTGTTAAAGGTTTCTTTAATACTATATTCATTTCTAAGTAATCTTAATGGATATGATATATATTTCTTAATACATACTTAACCCAAGTACTTAACAGATAAAAATATGAAAGAATGCGATTATAGTTCATTTATCTTAACTAGCTTCTTACTATTTTAAAAGACACTTGATTTAATTTCTAACATTGTCACCCTTAGATCAAGTTCTCAAACTTATCATTCTAAACATTTTCTTTGACTTGCAAAATAACTCAATTTTCATATGCTATGTCTTCAATTTGTTTGTTCTTTAATGGGATAATACTTGATCATCAATTTTTTTTAGAAATTAGTTTTTGAATCTTGTGAAATCAAATATCAATGTGTTAGATTGTCCATGAAAAAATGGATTTTTACTTGGCGCAATAGCTGACTAGTTATCACAATATATCTCTGTAGAATTATTCTGCTTCTGTTGTATTATTTCTAAAATTCTTCTCTTTCATATTGTTTTAGAAACACAATTGGTTGTTGCTATATATTATGCTTCAGTAGTAAATTGTTGCAGAAATAAAGAGTGCTCCAAACTTGATACAGACTCAATCAAAACTACAATACCTCTTCGATGTGAAGAGAATATCGCTTTACAAATTTGACAGAATAAGGGAGTAAGTTTGCACAGAGTTTGGATGGTTTGAAAATCGTATGAAAATGGGTATTTATAAGAGTCCAAAACCCTAGAAAATACCTAGGAACTGCTTCAACTTCGTGGAGAAAAAGTATGGACCACTTTTGGTTCCTTGGAGACCAAGCTTGGTTGGTTTGTAACCGTTTGAACAAACTAAAGGGTGACGACCGCAACATCCTCATGGCGACCGCCATGCTCACAAAGGGGGCATGGCTAGGTCATCCCACTACTTGGTGCGTGGACCACCCATGGCACCCCTAGGATGAACGTCATAGAGATTGTCAGAGGTGCTTGTTTGCTCCATTTCCTTGCTTTTTGTCCGTTTTTGGACCATTTCTTCGCAGACAGCTCCTAATTAGTGGATTTCCTGAAACAAAGCAAGTAGCTAGCATAATAGTGGAAAAATAAATTAAAACAATAGGAAAACATGCGTAAATCAGGTCAAATAAATGATAGGTTTAGGCGTCATCAATGGCTAACACATGGTTCTTCCATGAATATGCTAAGCAAACCAACTTCATATAATATATCTATTCTTGTCGTAGTCAAATGTCTCAGAATTTTGATCAAACATTCATATTGAGTTGAGCCTACCTTTTTACCATTATTTTCTCTCGTCAGATTTAGCTTTTCTTCAACAATTGTGTAAGTTGGCTTTGAATGCTCCATCCTGAATTTCTTCCAACTGATACATATGATCAAAAGTGACATTTTTAGGGGGCATTTGTTAGCTTGAAATTTCCAGTTGTTGAAAAGTCAAAAGAGAATGGTAATTGCTACGTTGAAATTACTAAGTGTCAAAGCCTAAACCAAAATCTTCGACGCGTTGACCTTGTCGACCAAGTGGTTCGACTAAGTTGTAAGTGGACTTAAGATCAACAAAGGTTTTTAGGACTCTCAATAACAGATCCACAAGGATATGATCAATTAGTACACATAATACGACGTGTGGAAGCAAGTTAGAGAAAAGTAGTTCACGTAGTAAGACACATGTCGAACATGTAACCAACAATTGTTGTCGATGATTATTTTAGGAATAACATATAAAGCAGGCCCAGACCTTGAACTAAGGGTCACAAAATTCTCATTCATTCTCTATAGAACTAGAGTACCCACGTCATCGAGCAAAATATTTTGTGAGTAATGTGAGTATGTGTCCACTCTTTAAACTTGCTGCAAATCTTTTGTATTCCAAGCATTAACAATTAATGTCATTTGCTTCATTTAATTTATTTATTGCTTTTTATATTTACCCAAAGTTTATTTCTTACATTCAATTGGTTTATTACCCAAGTGTTTCAAGTCCAGATCACACACTTTTCATTGTATATTTTCGTTACACAAATTGTCTTTGAAATTTTTTGAGTTAATATTTAAGTAAACTAAACTCACGATTGTTTAATAAAAACACCAATAAACCCACCTAGAGGCATTATTATAAATTTATTTGTTTTAAGATATATATCTATCTTTCTCTTTTCCTTTTCAGACCAAAGGGATTAAGGCTTATCTATTGCTTCATCCTTTACTTGATGAGTAGGGTAAACCAGACCATTCACTTTTGTTTCCCATAAGTTATGATTTAAATTTTGAAGAAAAAACTTAAATCTGGCTTTCCAGATATTAAACCTGCTATCATCAAAAAGTGGTGGTGTGTTTGGAAAAGATCTCTTGTAGGGAGTCATCTTCCTCATGAGAAGATTAATCTTTAAACAGGAGTTAGACTCTGATATCACTCGTTGGACTTGAGACTTCACACACAAGAGGGGGTTGAATTGTGTGGTTTAGAAAAACTTGGTTTTGAAAATTTTTGGGAAATAAAATCGGAGTTTCAAAACATTTTCAAACCTTAGCAGCAAAAAAGTGAACAACAGAAAATAAATTGCGCAAAAAAACGAGTTAAGGGAAAGATATGAATATCACTATGTATAGAGGTTCATTAAAAAATAAAAAGACATACTCCTCTCCCCAAGAATTGATCTTGAGAGATTCTAATAATAGTTGAGAGATTTTATTAGGAAAGACTCATGAACCCCCTCCCTTGATGCTTGATCTCCAACAAAATAATACAAGACAATATATTTAGTTCGTGCATCTTCTCTGGGTGAATTGAAGCGGTTATTATAATTAGTCACTCATGGTAGATTGAATTAGTTAGTCTTCTTTTCGAAACTTTGTAAGCTTTTTTACGGGTTGATCTCACGAAACTTTAATCCATGGTTTTATACGAGATAACCAATAATCTATGAGATTTTAAATCGGGCTGATCTCAAATCTTTCAAGATTTTTTAAGGGATGAGCTTGAACCCGATGAAAGCTTTTATACGGGATGAGCTTTCAAAGCTAATCTTGATTTTAATATCGGGCTTACCAAGAACCAATGAGATTTTATAACGGGATAATCTCGAACCTAAGTTGGAATTGAATCACATAATCTTAACCCAAAGCTTTTAAAGGTTTAGCTTCTAACCCAAACAAATCCCTAATTAGACAATATTCAACCATGGTATATAGAAGTGATTTCCTTGGTGAATTTACAATTCTACCATTTCTATAATTACAATAATATACGCACTCACAAAATGAATTTCTTCACAAAAGCACTCAGGCTAAAACATTAGTGAGAGAAATTTAAATAAAACTTTTGAGAGAGAGAGAGAGAGAGAGAGAGAGAGAGAGAGAGAGAGAGAGAGAGAGAGAGAGAGAGAGAGAGAGAGAGAGAGAGAGAGAGAGAGAGAGAGAGAGAGAGAGAGAGAGAGAGGTGTCAAAACACGGTTCTGGATGAAATGAAATGAGAAAAGGGGGCTCTATTTATAGTCCAAAGGTCGTCTTAAAAGGAATTTCCAATAAATGTATTTTATCACTTTCCAATCGATTGGCATGTTTTTACAATCGATTGAAAGCTTGAAGCACAATCGATTGTAAGTTCAAAATAGGGAAGAAAATATATCTAGTTATTTCACATTATGAATGTGTTGTCCCAATCGCTTGTGGCTCAATTTTGAATTGATCCAATCGATTGGGAAAATGCTTTAAATTTTTCCTATAGCTATTTGACAACTCCTAATTCATCTAACACAACTTCAAAATATTTTTAATGATATTTTCTTTGGTATAAACTATTTTTAAAAGTATTTTAGTGTTTGTGTGCTTTTAGTCACGCACTTTTACGATAAAGCCCTTTTGCTTTACAATTCGTTCACTCACTACTAAAATACGAGATACCAAGCTACTTTAAGACTTTATTAGATATTTTCTTCTATGTGAGTACTTGCATGAGTAGCTTGAGATGAGGTGTTCCATTTATATTTCAATCATCGGATAATCAAGTCCATTCACCCTTAGATTTGCATCTTTATCCGCTTATTCGTTCATGTTTGACATATCATATTAGTTGTTATCATCAAAAGTAAATGTCCTTGTTAAAAATATATCACCTTCAAAACAAGGTTCCACACATATTAGGGAAACCGAGGAAAGAATCAATTTCACAAACCATCACGAAATCAAGATCACACAAAAGTAATTCATGATCTTTACACAATTATCATGGGAAGATATTTAAGTAATGAGATTTTTTTTCTTACATCTATCAGGTTTTAATCATACATCGTGCAGATACTTAAGAGTAACATTGCTAAAGTAAGTGGAAGGTAGCTCTTGGATTGGCTTCTAATAGTTTTTCGTTTTCTTTAGTAAGGTCTTGCTATGACCATCTAACATCAGGCCGGGAAAATTTGATTTCACTTCTCATGTCATGTTTATGTTGAAGTATTATAACTGATGTGGTTCTTGAGCTGATTTATTTAAAATCTTTTATTTGTTGTGGAAGTTGAAGTTGAGAATAAATGGTATGCATTTAATTTAGTTTTTAATCGCTTTAATTATGATTCTGCTGCGATGATACCCTAAGTGAAGGTGAGCATGCGATGGCAGGT